TGCAAGCATTTTTTGTCCAGGCTCTCTTCCCCGGCTGGTCCTTGGTTCAGCAAGGGCATGGAAGGAAAAAAAAGGGGGTGGAATAATCAATAACTCAGGAGTCAAAGGCAGGGCAGAGAACTCGGTGCCTCCATCTAACTGAGAAACGGATTAAAAAAATATTTTAGTGTGGGGGGAAATCAAAAAACTTCAGAAGCTGCTTTTCTAAATACCAGACCTCTATGCATGATGCCGAAACCCTAGGGTAGAAACACATCAAAAACTAGCATTTAGATCTCTTATTTTTAAAAAAAAAACACAAAACAAGAATGTAGAAAATGTGGGAGAACGGCTAGAGGCAACATGGAGAGAGATATTTATTTGCTGCTTATATAACTCAGCTCCCGCCCTAAAAATGACACCGAAAGGCTGAAATCCTGTAGGGATCGCGCAGCCCAAACCAGCAGACATGCGTGTGATCTTCCTATCAGGATTTTGGAGCAGGATTTTGGCCAAAGTATATTGCATGCAGATCAAAGAATGGATTAGAAACAGAAGTAAAAAAAGCAAAGCATCCAAGAGAGAGCAGCTGACGTCCGGTTAAAGGATGCTTCGTCAGCAACCCAGCACAGAGTGGAAACTGTCTTTACTTGCTTGATCACTGAGCTGCTCTTAGAAGGGAGGGCCACAGCCTGGGAGTCACCACGAACGAGGCCCTTCCCCAGGTTTCTGCCATACATGCCTCTGATTGTGACCAAAGGAAAGGAACTTCCCAAACATGTCTTGGGGCCCACCTTAAAGCCAAGGATGATGTGCACCCAAAATTGCACACTTCTCCCCCCCCAGAACTTCCGGCCTGGTCTGCTGACCCCCTGTATTCTCATTTATTTGTGTCCAGCGTTGCTTTCTTGATTTAAAACAGATTGGTCCCGCCCGAACAGCAGAGCCCAAAGGTACAGTCAATCGAATCATATAATCACAAATACAGTGGTGCCCCGCATAGCGATAATAATCCGTTCCGGAAAAATTGTCGCTATGCGGATTCGTCGGTATGTGAAAAGAAAAAGCCCACAGGAATGCATTAAAACCTGTTTAATGCGTTCCTATGGGCAAAAAACTCACCTTTAAGCGAAAATCCTCCATACGGCCGCCATTTTCACTGCTTGGTAAGCAAGGAAACAGCGCGAAAACACAGGGAGCGGCCATTTTTTTTACCCGGTAGCCATTTTGGAACCGCCGATCAGCTGTTCTAAAATCATCACTATGTGAAAATCGGTAAGCGAAACAGCTTACCGATCATCGCAAAAACTTAATCGCGATGCGGATTCGTCGTTAAACGGGGCACCCGTTAGGCGAGGCACCGCTGTATCAGAGTGAAAAACAAGTCAATCAGCCCAAACAGATGCAAGATGTGAAAATATTAAAAATTAAGGTATTCGGATGAGTTTCAGAACCGGCAATGAGACCTAAGCTGTATAAAAATAAATACTCCTAACGTTGTGTTCCTCCAGCTGTAATGGCAAAGCAGGGCAGATATAATTCACAACCACAACTCAAAAGAGTTCTTCTCCATTGCTGGGGCTGAGGAAATGCAGTGGTTCCCCACCTTGGTTCTCCAGATGTTCTTGGACTAAAACTCCCAGAAGCCTTCATCTCCAGCTGTGCTGGCTAGGGTTTCGAGGAGTTGCAGTCCAACGACATCTGGGGACCCAAGGTTGGGAACAAGTGTCCCCCAGGAGGTTGGTGGGTCTAGTTTGTTGCCTTCTTGACCACCATTGGCCCAAAGAGTCTTCCATGCTAAGTCCTGTTAACAAGAGTTAAAACTCAGCACCTGAGAAATCAGTGCCCATGAAGCTTTTCTCTGTTTGGTGAAGAAAAGAAGTATTTCCAACATGCTCTCAGGGCCAGCAAAAGGTTATCTGAGCAGTATCTCCTCTTTGCCACCTTGCAACACAGAGAGGCCCCGCTAAAACCCATCCTTAGGCAGCTGGAGTTACATCACGGTTTGGTGACGCACATGAAATCATCCGGGTGGCCCTTCCAAAGTGGCCGCCTGGCTTAACCTGGTGGGACGGATGACCCTTCCAAAAGGCTAGCGAAGGGGGAGGCAGGAAGGAGCACAGCTGGGCTTATGGCAACGCTCCCACCACATGCCTGCTTCATTCCCTTGCGCAAGGGTGCACCATGGTGCATGATGTCCCAGTCCTGCCCTGCACCCCCCCAGACAAAGCTCCCCCATCCCAGGTTTGCCCCCCCTCCGTCTGGTTTAAAACAAATAGGCCGTTCAGTAAGCATTAGCAACTCACGGCTGATGAAAAACAACGGGAAGCCCTGCTCTTCTTTCTGATCTCATTTCACAACCCCTCCTGCAAGAACCATAAGGCTTTGCCAGGTTTATTTATCCATTTTATCACCTGTTTATTAACAGATTTGAATCCTCTCTCCTATTAGTACTTGAAAACATTAATATTCTGCACCTCCCAGAATCTTGGCAGGAGAATTCTGGAACAGGTAGTTTTTAAAAGACCACACACACCCATTAAATAGAAGAAGCAGACAGTGTAAAACAGGCTTAGTTACTGCTATTTGGCAAAGGAGCAAAGATTTATTATCACCAGACTGTAATGGGGATTCTTCCGACTAAACCAGGAGGTGTAAAAGCACCTTTTGAGAAAGTCTCAAAAACATAGGCTGAGCGCCCAGCCTCATGAGAATGATGGTACTAGTGGTTATGGGAGAAAAAGGGACTGGGACATAAAGGTGGGATCTGCAAAACCATTTTTAAAGGTATTCAGGACCTCTTCCAGAAAAACAAACTTTTTTAAAAAAAAACTCAAATCAGTCTAAAGTGAGTAGAGGAAAAAAATATTCCCAGTTAGGGCTGGTGGCGAGAATCTGTATCAGGTTTTCTTTTCTCTGCCTGAAGAAATTTATGATTTTCTGAGGAAATGCAGTGGTTCCCCACCTTGGTTCTCCAGATGTTCTTGGACTAAAACTCCCAGAAGCCTTCATCTCCAGCTGTGCTGGCTAGGGTTTCGAGGAGTTGCAGTCCAACGACATCTGGGGACCCAAGATTGGGAACAAGTGTCCCCCAGGAGGTTGGTGGGTCTAGTTTGTTGCCTTCTTGACCACCATTGGCCCAAAGAGTCTTCCATGCTAAGTCCTGTTAACAAGAGTTAAAACTCAGCACCTGAGAAATCAGTGCCCATGAAGCTTTTCTCTGTTTGGTGAAGAAAAGAAGTATTTCCAACATGCTCTCAGGGCCAGCAAAAGGTTATCTGAGCAGTATCTCCTCTTTGCCACCTTGCAACACAGAGAGGCCCCGCTAAAACCCATCCTTAGGCAGCTGGAGTTACATCACGGTTTGGTGACGCACATGAAATCATCCGGGTGGCCCTTCCAAAGTGGCCGCCTGGCTTAACCTGGTGGGACGGATGACCCTTCCAAAAGGCTAGCCAAGGGGGAGGCAGGAAGGAGCACAGCTGGGCTTATGGCAACGCTCCCACCACATGCCTGCTTCATTCCCTTGCGCAAGGGTGCACCATGGTGCATGATGTCCCAGTCCTGCCCTGCACCCCCCCAGACAAAGCTCCCCCATCCCAGGTTTGCCCCCCCTCCGTCTGGTTTAAAACAAATAGGCCGTTCAGTAAGCATTAGCAACTCACGGCTGATGAAAAAAAACGGGAAGCCCTGCTCTTCTTTCTGATCTCATTTCACAACCCCTCCTGCAAGAACCATAAGGCTTTGCCAGGTTTATTTATCCATTTTATCACCTGTTTATTAACAGATTTGAATCCTCTCTCCTATTAGTACTTGAAAACATTAATATTCTGCACCTCCCAGAATCTTGGCAGGAGAATTCTGGAACAGGTAGTTTTTAAAAGACCACACACACCCATTAAATAGAAGAAGCAGACAGTGTAAAACAGGCTTAGTTACTGCTATTTGGCAAAGGAGCAAAGATTTATTATCACCAAACTGTAATCTGGATTCTTCCGACTAAACCAGGAGGTGTAAAAGCACCTTTTGAGAAAGTCTCAAAAACATAGGCTGAGCGCCCAGCCTCATGAGAATGATGGTACTAGTGGTTATGGGAGAAAAAGTGACAGGGACATAAAGGTGGATCTGAAAAAACATTTTTAAAGGTATTCAGGACCTCTTTCCAGAAAAACAAACAAACTTTTTAAAAAAATCTCAAATCTGTCTAAAGTGAGTAGAGGAAAAAATATTCCCAGTTAGGGCTGGTGGTGAGAATCTATCAGGTTTTCTTTTCTCTTCCTGAAAAAATTTATGATTTCAGATATATATTTTTTAAATGGGGAAAAAATAAACTTGCAGGTATACACACATAAAAACGGAGGGAACAACCCCCCCCCCAAGGAATCCTCATGTTCTCTGTGGTCCAAAGAGAAGGAAATTTCCCAGTTTCAAGTGAAAATGATGAGAAGCAAATCGAAACGAAATCCCTCCCCTTTTTCACCAGGGCCCCCTTGCACGTGGCATACAGGTTTTGTGGATGAGGACCTTTTCGAAGGAAAAAAACAAAAGTGAGATTCAATATCAAACTAGGAAGAGCTAAGCACTGAAACTACTAAGCCTGGGAGGGTGTTTTTCCCTTATGTTAATTATTTTTAAAATAGCAGGGTTTTTTTTCTAGCCCAAGAAAACTGTCCGTCTCTCAGAGGGGAACTCCTGCTCCCGACTAGAGGAGACCCACTGAGAACTCATGGGATTTACAAAAGCCTCGATCAGCCCTTCAGTTCATGTAAGAGGCTGAGTGCCAAGTTGTTGGACGGAGGCCACGCTTCCCGGCAGATATTTGCCCAATGCCCAAACTCTGCCCGGTCCTTGACGTCAGCAGGCTGAGCGGCCCAACGTGGAGAGGGTTAATTTGGCAAGAGAGGCAACCTTGACTCCTTGCCCAACTCTGTGCTGTCCCCCTGCCGTCAGCAAATCAGGATCGTCACCACCCTCCACCCCTGCGTCTCCCTTTTTGCTCAAAAGGAGCCAGTCCCCCGGGGAGCGCTTTCTTTACACTCAGCCGCTGAGCAGCTCCTAAGATGGCTCAAACCTGGGTCCAGAACGATGACGACCGTCTAAACAGCGATGCCCAACTCTCCCATAACAGGAAGGTGCCCAAAAGGATGGCCTCGCTGATGGAGCTGAAGGAGGTCTTCCACAACGCCGACGCCGTCTGCTTCGACGTGGACAGCACGGTCATCCGGGAGGAAGGCATCGACGAGCTCGCCAAGTTCTGCGGCGTCGGAGACGCGGTGGCGGAAATGTACGTAATCTCTAGGGGTGATCGCAGCGGGCCGGCTGCTGCCGCTTCCCCGAATGGAGGAAATTCGATTAAGGTGCAAGTCGTCGGAGATTTCCAACCCAAGTTTGGCAGTGGGGGGTGACAGCGGCAGGACCCTGGGGTGCTTTGGAGAGCTGGTTTTCTGTTTTATTTTTCTTTTCAGCGCAAGATGCTGAATGCACATTGGGGACTCCAGAAAAAGGTCCCTCCCCATCCTCCTGCTCTGCTATCCAAACCCCCTCTGGAGGCCATTCTTTCTCCCTTTTCAGGACCCGCAGGGCCATGGGTGGTTCGGTCACGTTCAAGGCAGCGTTGACGGCACGGCTGGGACTCATACGCCCTTCCTGTGAACAAGTGCAGAAGCTAATATCGGAGCATCCCCCCCAGTTAACGCCAGGAATAAGGTAAGACCTGTTTGGCAGACAGGGAGATCCCTCCCCCCCCCACAATCTTCCATGTTGATTTCTTCTTGAGAGGCTGCCATGCTACGGGAGTAAAATCGGAACTGTGGGCCGTGAAGTAAATTCTGATTTATGGCAGTTCTTCTCAAGAGTCTGGTAGGTATAGAGGACTCAGAAGCAGTTGAGAAATCGCTCCTTCTGGTGGCACTCTGGGATCCCCATGGCGCTTGCCCAAGGATGCAGGAGGTCCCATCCTGCCAGCCTCGTACATCAGCGAATATGGATGAGATGTTCGTCCATATTCAACGAATATGGATGAGATTGTCCTTCTTGTTGATCTCGGAGGGCTCCTCTCACAGGAGGTGCAAGGGGACTGGTACTCCTGACTTCTGGATTCAATAGTGAGGTGCTCCAACTTCCTGAGCTGTGCCAGCGAACAGCAGTACATAGGGGGAAAGAAAAGAGCAGAAGGTGCACCAAAGAATAAGGGATCCCGGCCCCCAGTTGCATTCCCGTTGAGGATGTCTGTACTGTATTTATATCTGTTTCTTTAAACTGGAGCATGTTTGCGAGAGGAAATGGATGTTGTGTTTCAAAAGGTCTGTCACCTTGTGCTGGCGGACACTTTGACATCTTCATGGCTTATACCTTCGGGCCCTCTCGAGATGCTCATGGAGCGGCCCCTCTCCACAACCCCAGAGGCACCTTTGAGTCTCTCTCTTGCCCCTTTTTACCTCTGTGTTCAGAGTGGTAGATAAAGCAAGGCTCCTGGGGCTGAGATCCAGGCTGCTGAAATAGGTTGTTATGTGACGTGACGTCAAGTTGCCCTCAACTTATGGAAACCTCATGAATGAGCGATCTCTAAAATGTCCTATCTTCAATGGCCCTGCTCGGCTCTTGCTAACTCAAGCCTGTGACTTCCTTTAGAGAAATCAATCGCATCTCGTATTTGATTTTCCTCTCTCCCTGCGGCCTTCCACCTTTCCCAGCATGATGGGTTTTTTTGCAATGAACCCTGTTTTCTCACGATGTGCTCAAACCTTCCACCTTTCCCAGCATGATGGCCTTTTTTTTGCAATGAACCCTGCTTTCTCACGATGTGCTCAAAATAGAACAGCCTCAGTTTCTACATTTTTGCCTCCAGAGATCGTTCAAGCTTGATTCAATCTAGGACCCACCTCTTCGCCTTTCTGGCAGTTCAGAGTATCTGGAAAACATAGCGTGTCCAAACAAAAGAAGTTGTGGTGGTTTTTTTTGGACATGGCGTTCTGTTTTGCCTCCAAGGGAACTGGTCAACCGGCTCCACCAACGAGGGGTCCAGGTCTTCTTAATCTCTGGAGGGTTTCAAAGCATCGTCGAGCACGTCGCCTCCCAGCTCAACATTCCCGTCTCCAACGTCTTCGCCAACCGCTTGAAGTTCTACTTTAACGGTAAGATCTCCCAAAGCAAGTACCTGTGTCAGATTTCATGGGGATCTGTCGAGCAGAGGATGCTGAGTCAGGAAAGATTAAAACATGAAAGAGCATTGTGGATTCTGTTCACTAAGAGAAAAGGTATGTGTGGGTTTTTTTTTGGAAGTCTTAAGAAAAAAACTTTCTTCCAGGGTAGGATTTCTTCCAAAGAAACATGATCCATTTTTATTCCTCTCCTGCCAGAATCTGCTCTGACTCTTAACTCCTTGCTTATGCGCCTTTCTTCCTCAACAGCCAGATTCTTCCATTCTTGCTTCAAAAGGCAAACATAACCTACAGGCGGACCTTTTGGCTTTAGGAGTTGTGTTGGGTTTTGAGCTTTGATTTTGTCCAACACTCAGTGGACATCCCTCTTTCCAACATCCCACAGACCGAGAAACAGAGAGTTCCTTTCAGAGCAGCTACTGTGAGCAGCAATGCATGATGGGAGGAATGGCAAGCATCCTGCCAGGCTCCTGTGAGGCCAGATGAGATGTTATCTCAGTAGATGCTTAGTTCACTTTCCAATACTTTAGCCTTGCTTGTCGGGAAGGTCTTACATTCCCCGGATCATTTGGGTTCGCTTAAAGAAGCAGGCTGGCCGATTATCATAACCCCGTCGGCCCGCTGGTTTCAGAACAGAGTTCCCTGAGATTAAGGTTGAACTCTTAGCTCTGGTCCACCGAAAGAGCAAGGCACTCAGCTTCTAAAGTCAGCACATTATGCAAGACTGCTTATCGACATATCATGTCGATAATAAAACACAAGTTCAAGGTAAAAGATCAATAAAATGGCCAATAAAATCGCTGTACACCCAAAAGCAGCTTTCAGGGGATAAATTGGGTTCACTCAGCCAGGCCAAGACACTGGACTCCTCCAGGTGGAGTACGTATTTGTTTCACCATCCCTACGTTACTCTTAGCTTGCTCAGTACAGTGCTTTTCTGCTCCTTTTTCCTCCACCTGGAAGCAAGGTTTATTTTTAGTCCTGTTTTGTACCGGGCAGGTGGAATTTAGCGCTAAAGCACTCCCGTTTAAAATGGCTCACAAGAGGCTGCTGGTTGGAAGCTTTCAGTTAGCAGTCAAAACAAGCCAACAAAGCTGCAGCGGAACAAGCAAACAAAGTAACATCAGAGAGAATAGTTGATTGGCTTGAAACTTGGCACCTTTCATGTCGAACCCCCTGCCTTGGTGGGATGCTTCTTTTCATTTCAAATGTTTAGCGTCCACATTATTCTGAGGGCACGTGGCTGATTTTCCCCTCTGCGATGCATTTCTAGGAGAATATGCCGGCTTTGATGAAACACAGCCCACCGCTGAATCTGGCGGCAAAGGACAAGTTATAAGTTACCTAAAGGAGCAGTTTCAGTTTAAGAAGGTGGTGATGATCGGAGATGGAGCGACGGATATGGAAGCCTGCCCTCCAGCGGTGAGTTTCTGCGGCCTCCCTGATTATTCTTCTGCGCCATTATTTAGGACTGTTCTGTTTCATTCCCTGACAGGTATGCACAGGCTATTCGCTTAAAGAAGCAGGCTGGCCGATTATCATAACCCCGTCGGCCCGCTGGTTTCAGAACAGAGTTCCCTGAGATTAAGGTTGAACTCTTAGCTCTGGTCCACCGAAAGAGCAAGGCACTCAGCTTCTAAAGTCAGCACATTATGCAAGACTGCTTATCGACATATCATGTCGATAATAAAACACAAGTTCAAGGCAAAAGACCAATAAAACGGCCAATAAAATCGCTGTACAGCCAAAAGCAGCTTTCAGGGGATAAATTGGGTTCACTCAGCCAGGCCAAGACACTGGACTCCTCCAGGTGGAGTACGTATTTGTTTCACCATCCCTACAACGTTACTCTTAGCTTGCTCAGTACAGTGCTTTTCTGCTCCTTTTTCCTCCTCCTGATAGCATGGTTTATTTTTAGTCCTATTTTGTACCAGGCAGGTGGAATTTAGTACTAAAGCACTCTAGTTTAAAATGGCTCACAAGAAGCCTGCTGGTTGGAAGCTTTCAGTTAGCAGTCAAAACAAGCCAACAAAGCTGCAGCGGAACAAGCAAACAAAGTAACATCAGAGAGAATAGTTGATTGGCTTGAAACTTGGCACCTTTCATGTCGAACCCCCTGCCTTGGTGGGATGCTTCTTTTCATTTCAAATGTTTAGCGTCCACATTATTCTGAGGGCACGTGGCTGATTTTCCCCTCTGCGATGCATTTCTAGGAGAATATGCCGGCTTTGATGAAACACAGCCCACCGCTGAATCTGGCGGCAAAGGACAAGTTATAAGTTACCTAAAGGAGCAGTTTCAGTTTAAGAAGGTGGTGATGATCGGAGATGGAGCGACGGATATGGAAGCCTGCCCTCCAGCGGTGAGTTTCTGCGGCCTCCCTGATTATTCTTCTGCGCCATTATTTAGGACTGTTCTGTTTCATTCCCTGACAGGTATGCACAGGCTATTTGACTCAAGGGGTGGGAGAGCAGATGTTCCAGGCTTCATCTACCCTAATCCTTGAATATTGGACATGCTGGTGGAGGATGATGGGATACGATGTCCAGCAACATCTGGAAACCAAAGGTCTCCCATCCCTGGCTCAAACATTACTAGAGAAAGCGTATTTATTGCTTAAGCATTCTGCACTTCCTCCTATCGGCCCACAGGGACTTCTCTAGCCGTACCAACTTTGTGAATTAGGCTTAGCAGAGGAGCTTCTTGGATGAAAGAGGATTTGAACTCAGTCCTCAACAGGCCAGCTGCCAGACTTCTTGTGACTCACAGGAACTAGCCAAGAGTGACCTAGGAAGCCATGCCTTCTGCTGATCCAGATTCCTGCTACCTCTAATCCAGCATTTCTAACGCTGGCTATCCTAGATCTCTCATATTCTCTGGTGGTCTCCCGTACAAGGACTGACCAAGGTCACTCCTGCTTTGCTTCCTAAATCATAATGACGAGGAATGAATACCTTGTGTGCTTCTGAGCACCCAGGATAGTATACTGTTATTAGTTACCTCTATTATTACACCTGGAGCCAAAGGGTGGTGCACATGGCTTTTTTCTTCCCCTCTCTAAATTTCACAACAACCCTAAGAGGTAGGCCAAGCTGAGAAACAACCGTTCAGAGCCTCCCAGTGAGTTTTGGAACTCTGTAGAGACTTGAACCAAGACCTCTCACGTCTAAGACGACGACCGCTAGAGATCAATGCCTTTCATCTGCCACGATCTTTTGCTCCCTCGGGCAGATTTGCCCATGTAACTTAAAACTTTAACATGTTTCACACATCTCAAAGTGCAGTGTCACAGCACCCTGTGTACCCACCCCTTTCTGGGCACGGGTGAAGCATCGTAGGGATTGCTGCTTTTCAAAAATCTCACGACTGCCAGTCAGAACTTGAGCGTCTGCAAAACCAAATGGCTGGATCATCTTCTCAGGGGAAAAAACACCACCAAAAAAACCACAAAATAATTCAACTCTGCTATGTGTGCACAGGGCAAAATCCCTCTCCTCTAGGAAATGACGAGGGGCGGGCGAGCAGGCAGGCAAGGCAAGGCAGACAGACAGACAAGACAGATAGATAAAATTTGCATGTGCTTTGCAAGACCCAGCGTTGATGCTTGTTCCTGGTTAATGATTTTACCTTTGTTAATGATTTCTTTTCGTCTCTCTCACGCAAGGTGAGCCAAATGGAAAGGAAAGGGTCAGAGAAAGCAGCCAGGGCACTGATAACCAGCATTAAGGAACAAACTCTTCTGGCTCTGCTTTGCAAAAGCATTTTGAAGCAAGACCTTACTTTTATCACATCACATGACTGGCAAAGCAAAAGGGGAATACGACTTGGCCGCTGCTATAAATCTACCGCTTCTGGATAGCAAGCAGATTATGTCAAGTCAGGAAAATCAGCGTTTCCAGAGTTTTCCCCCTTCCATGTTGGCAGGATCATTTCCTCTTGGGGAACTGCCACCAGCCTGCCGGGAACAAAATGACTGGGGCAGGATCACCCTCATGCTTCACCAATGGCATTAAAGATTTTTTTTCTCCATTTGGGCTGAACCGTCGATATTCCCTGACAATTTCTTTTGTGCTCTCCTTGTTTGAAGAAACCTGGCAGAATCTACAGTAAACAGCTTTCTGTGTTCCTCAGTTCCTCGTACCAGAGCTTGGGAAAAATGACTTTATTTTTTAAAAATTTCACTTTCTGGTCCAAAAATGTACACGTCCAAGCATCATTCTGCGCCCTCCAGCATCTTGGGCTTGTCTGGGGTGCTGCCAGAGGTCTTTCTGTTCCCTCCACTGCATCCTCTTTTGTCCTTCATTGTGGGAACCTTGGGAAGTGTTTTATTTTCTGAAACACAGACGTAAACCTTGTCTTTTGCTTTTTTTTGTCCAGGACTGTTTCATCGGCTTTGGCGGCAACGTCGTGCGGAAGCAAGTCAAGGAAAAAGCAAAATGGTACATCACCCACTTCGACGAGCTGCTGAAGGAACTGGAGGAGCGATAAATTATAAACTAGGCTTATTTTATTAACACTTGTCATAGGTAGATGTATGATTATGCAATTAAACAAGTTCGTATTGTTATTTGCAAATGTAAGGGTCTTGGAACTTTTTTTCCTCCCCTGAATGAGTTCTCCCAGGCTCTGACGAGTCTGCCTGCATTCCATGTTGCTTCTGGGGATGAGGTTAGGGTTGGGGAGAAAGGATCAGTGCCCCAAATCACTTTCTCAAAAGAGAAAATTGCATCTGTGTTGCAATAGGATTAAAATGCTTATTATGGGGAGTTTTCTGATCCCTGTGAGAACTCCACCAAGAATATAAAAGATGTCCTATCTCCAAAGAAAAACGTAGCCATAATCAAGCACGTCCTTCCCAAACACTCAGAATGTACACAGAGTGCAATAAAAGAAAAAATAGAATCAGATAAACCGAACCACACACTTCTTATATTTCTTTACCCCAATTCATTTTCAATTTCCCAATGACAGGATCAATGCACTGATAACTGTAACGCATCACATCTTCTTCAATGCACCATAATTTTCTGAAATAATGACAGTGAGGTTTTCTTTTAAAATCCCCAATACATCATGTTGTCTTGGACAACCCCCCCACCTGCATGTGAAAAGTGGCTGAAATTAGGATGTCCTCAAAAAGTCAACTCTGTAGATCTGAATCTGCATTTGGCCACAGAATAGGATTCTAGGGGAGGGGCTGGTAAAGATCCCAATGCAACCTCCACCCCACCCCACCCCCTTAGCTTCCTATATTAAAGGATGGAGCAGGTTGGAAAAGTCCCCTTGCGTCTTTTAGAAGTCGTGGGAAGGAATGCCGCCATGTTTTAGGGTCTCTTCCAGAGGCACAAAAAAGGTAGCTATAAAAATATTATTGGCCACTAGAGGATGACAGAGGGCTTTTTAAAAGTAAAAAATGTTTCAAAAGAAAATTATTTTCATGGAGGTGGAAAAGCAGGGCGCAGGTACGGCTCTTCAAGGGAAAGGTGTGGGCATCAGCATCTCTTAGGCCTGTGGGATCACTTTCCACTTTGAAAGACTGATATTTAGGGGTATCAATGGCATGGAAACCCCGACCTATTTAGAAAGCAAACTGTAGCAAAGGAAAGCTTTCAAGAAGTGCAATTCACTCTTTTTGCTGGAAAAAAAGAGGAGACAAGGCAAACTGGAGGGGGCTGTCAAAACAGATGGGGTGGCAGCAATGTTTCTATCTCAAAGAGCTTTAAGAAATCAGATGTGAAAGCTGTCAGGAGTGGAAAGAGCAAGACGGTTTTTACAGAACCCCTGGGGGCTCTTCATTAGGTGCAATTTCTGACCGACAGCCCCCAATTCTTGGTGTTCTTCTTCGGAAGCCATTACTGTATTTTGGAAACAACCACCACTTACTATGGCCAATACTCAAGCTGTCTTTACAAGATGCTCTCCTGGGGGATTGGCTGCATCTTCTTTGCCTCCTCTTGCCTGGGAGAAAGCCGAAAAAGAGTTGCTAGCATTTGGGGAGAGAAAATGCTCTTCCTAGAATAGCGTCCTCTGGCTAAGCAGAAGCACTTCTTGCACGGACAATAGCGGCATTGTGGCAGAACCGAGGAACTTGAAATGTGCCAAGGTTTCTCTCTAGGGAGGGGGATGGGAAAAGAGCGCCTTTCTTCTTTTCCTCTCCAGGAAATGAAGGTCAAGAGTTGAGCCAGGATCCCTCTTTGGCAAATGAGCACATTCAAGGCTCCCAAATGGGTTATTGTAACTTGTCTTGGAAGATGCCTTGTAGAAAACAGCTAAGAAAGGAAGGTTTACTCCCAAGAGTTACTCCGAGACAGCAAACCGAGATGGGTTTTTTTTTTCACTCTTTCTTTCCTCCCCTCCTTAAAAGAGAGAAGTCAGGGCTGTTGGATAAAAATCGATGATTCTATAAGTCCAAAAAGGTAATATTCTGAAGCTTCAGCCTAATTTGCAAGCTACCATCCAAAACAACCACATATCATGGTGCCTTAGAATGGCCATCATTAAGATGTCATAGTTCCTGGTGGAATCCATTGGAGTGCACCATTTTTCATCCCAAAAAACTACAGCCAAGAAAGAAGTGAAAAGCCATCTATCTGCCACTACAACAGCATGGAAGCCGGGTTTGGTGGAAGGCACCGACGGCCACCATCAGGTTGGCCTGACCCGATGAAATAGCGTCAATGTCCTTCTGCTTGGCAATCCCATGATATTTTGCTCTAAGAGGCAGCATGGCTTCCCCTTTGGAACCTGAAAAGTTAGGGGTTGCTTCAGGTCAGGGGATCTGATCACTTCTCGTCGTCGTTTAGTCGTGTCCGACTCTTTGTGACCCCCTGGACCAGAGCACGGCAGGCTGTCCTATCTTCCACTGCCTCCCGTAGTTGGGTCAATTTCATGTTGGTTGCTTCGCAGACACTGTCCAGCCATCTCATCCTCTGTCGTCCCCTTCTCCTCTTGCCGTCATACTTTCCCAACATCAAGGTCTTTTCCAAGGAAAAGATATTTTGCTCTAAGTGGCAGCACGGCTTCCCCTTTAGAACCCGAAAAGTTAGGGGTTGCTTCAGGTCAGGGGATCTGATCACTTCTACTCAGGTAAAAACAGGATTCTGTGCTTCTGTTGTGGTTTTAGAAAGCCCCGATAACTTCAGACGGAGACCCCCTGGCACATTTCGTGCTGTTCTGAGGATTTTGTGAGAAATCTGTCACATCCATGACACCCTCCCAATCCGACAGAAGAACGAAGCTAGAGGTTGTATAAAGGGGTGATTTCTACAGCCTGTATCCTTAGCTGCGCTCTCGTAGAGAGGAAAGAAAACAGATTCCGGGCAGGTTATGAGTACAATGCTATTACAGAAAATAGTTGCAATAAATGATGGGACTGTAAATCTGTTTTTTAAAAAAACCAGTGACTCTTAACAGTTAACAAATCACTGCTTTGGGGTCTTGGATCCTGAACTGTAACAAATTAGTTTTTAAAAGCAAGTGTCCAAGCTTAATTACACACTTCAAATGTTGGTGGTTGGCACTTGGGTCTGTTATGAGCAAAAGTCACACTTCCTTCAGGTGGGGTGACAGTTTAGAAAGAGGATTCCCTAAATATCACACAGGACGGGACAGAGAGAGAGAGAGAGAGAGAGAGAGGGAGGGAGTCTTTGGAGGAGGAGAAGGAGAGATCATGGAACCACAAATCAGTTCAGGGAATTTTAGACGTCACCTGAAAGCAAGGGAGAATGGGTGGAATCTAAGCCCTTGTATGGTTTGCAAACCGCAGACCCAAATAAAGAAACCAAACACAGTTACAAGACGGGGGATGCCTGGCTCAGCAACACTGCAAGGGAAAAGAATATTGGAATTGTCGTAGATCACAGGCTGAATATGAGCCAACAGTGGGATGGGGCTGCAAAAAAGGCCAATGCTATTTTAGGCTGCATTAACAGAAATATAGTCTCCAAATCCCGTGCGGTCCTAGCCCTCCTCAGTTCAGTTTTGATTAGGCCTCATCTCGAGTCTTGTGTGTCCAGTTCTGGACACCACACTTGAAGAAGGAGGCCAACAAACTGGAGCAAGTTCAGAAGAGGGCAAGAAGGATCATTATTAGGCTGGAGACCAAGCCCTAGGAGGAAAGATGGAAAGAACTGCAAGTGTTTAGCCTTCAGAAAAGAAGATGGAGGGGAGAGTGGATAGAACTCTTCAAAGACTTGAAAGGTCTACAGAGGAGGGGCAGGATCTGTTCTCTAATATCCCAGAGTGCAGGACACACAGCAATGGGCCCAGGTCACAGGAAGCCAGATTTTGGTTGAATATCAAGAAAAACTTCGTGCTCGAGCAGTACGACAATAGAATCAATGACCTCGAGAGGTAGTGAGCGCTCAACCACTGGAAGCATTGAAGAGAAACTGAGACAATCACCGGACAGGTATCCTTTGATTTGTATCCTTGCATTCAGGACTTAGTGGTTGGACTTAGTGGCTTTATAGGCCCCTTCCAACATCCTGATTCTGATTCTCTGATAACGACACCCTTTTGAAAGAGTTGTGGCTTTGGGCTTTCGATTGCAAAGTTTGGAAAGAAGGCTACAGAAAGCCTTCCGAGAAGTGTGTAAGGCAACTGGCACAAGCCGTGGACCGATTGAATAACTGATCTGATAGTAAAGCTGGAGGCATGACACATGGGGAAGAGGAGGGTTCAAGAGGTCACATGGGGAAATTCCAGGCCCCACAGACAGACAAAGGGTCAGTGAGGAGGAATGTGCCCAGGGCACATTTCAGAGGTTTTTCCACATCAGGCGAAGCAGCTCAAATTCCTTGCTTATTCCCAGCTAGAAAAATACCAGGGAAATGACAGTCACAGAACCAACTTTCAGCTAACTGCCCAGTCAAAGCAGTTAGGAAAAAAAAGAGGTATGTCACTAGAGTTGCACTCTCTGCACCATGGGAAAGGTATCTGCAGCAGGAATACTGTGAAGGAATGTATTCTTATCCATGAAAAGGAGTGCAAAAAAATAAATCTTTTGTTTCGGCACCTCTGCCATTCCCTCCTACAAAAAATGAATGGACTGGAAGCTTAATCTTGTGGTAGGAAAGCATCCTCCCCCACACCTGAAGGCACAATTTACAGAAAGTAAAAGCAGCATCAGAGTCTGGGCCTGCATTAACCGGGAACCTTACAGTACTATGTTACACATTTGGAAAGAAATCCACTTGATTTCAGTGAGATTGACCTGCCACCTTGAAATCCCAGGAGACCGACCAGCTTCTTCTCCATCTCAGTAGGAACTCAACATGCACTGCTGCTGAAAGAAGTCCAAACCATACCGATAATATGCGAAAATCAATAGGATTTTTATTGACCCTTCCGCCGGAAAACTCACTGAAATGTATAAAGTGGATGTCTCATCGGTAATCAGACGTACAGCAAGCTGCGCTGATTTGTGAGCTAACAGGTTGATCGCTGCAACATACAGCGTGTCTACAACGTTACAGACACACAGACACAGAAAAATCTCTGTTCTACAGTGAAATCAAAAACAGGAAATTGGACACGGGAGGCCCATAGATTTGTGCCAGTCCTAAATGATTCTGTATGCTTCATCTTCTTCTTGCTTTGGCAGAATTACTCCTTGCAGTTAACATTAATTTAATCACTCACATGACTGAAAACATGGACACTTTATTAATTTTTTTAAAAAATTCCTTTCTTTTCCTACTTTGCTTCACTACATAATCCAGGAGTGGTTTGTAAAAAGGTCCATGGCACTAACTAGTCTGCAGAGCTGATCCCAATCCTACAGAGCTTTGTAGAAATTCAAGCTTTGTTTTAACCGGATTCAGGCTCTGCTTCCTGTGCTTCTTCCCTTACGCTGGGAAACATTTTGCCTGATCCTACGTGCCAGGCTACAGCTTCCTTTGCAGAAAGGAAAGGAAGGGGGTGGAAGGAGAGAACCAAGAGTTGTAGAACACCGGTTCGGTAAGGGGTAGCACTGAAGGAGCAGGAGTGGGGAGTGGAGAGGAGCGAACCACTTGCCCCTGGCTTCTCCCATCCAAATTCAGATGCCACTTTGATAAAGGGCTCCTAAACCAGAAGCTACCTTAAGTCTCCTCTTCTCCCTCCCTATGAGAAAATCCAGAAGTCCTCTCCATTCCCCAGCCGGAAAAGTCTCAACAATTTGTTTTAGCAGATGGCTAAGACAAAATTGAGTAAGACAAAGCAGGATAATAAGATGAAGTGCTTTTCCCGGGTAGGTCAAAGGAAAAGAGAAAAGAATTGGAGACTTTTCTCCCAATGAGCAAAACAAAAGACCCTGTTTGAAGAAAGCTAGCTGGTGTGTGTGTGGGGGACTCAGGAGGCTTGCTTTGGGGCCTGTTTGGGGCCCACCAGGAAGGTCCTGTAGCCCAGAGGAGCAGCGGTGGTGACCAAAATATAAAACAAAACAAAACAGAAGGGAGTGTAAGTCAGCAACCTCCCAATAATTAAGTACAGCATCATTCAAGAATTTAAAGCTCGTGCAAACTACCACTGAAGTTTGTGCGTTTCCTCCAGGGCCTGCCGGTTCCCCAAATAGCTGGCTGTGTTTCAATGAAACCGTTTCCCCGAGAACCAGGTTAAACACTAAAACATAAAATGTTGACCCTGCAACTCTCTCCTACGTGCTTCTGCAGGGTCTGAAGAAAAGAGGTTTCGTTCAGAAGCCTCAGCTTACAGTACTCCCTCAAGTCAGGGTCTCCATTGCCATACAATTTACCATTCAATGAGCAAACAAACAAACAAGCAAAATGAGACAAAAACTCTTGTTCAGATTTAAATCTACCCAGAGGCACCAGGCAATCAGCAGCTTTACTGAAGTGGAGAAATCTTCAGTGGTATCATAATTCTTGATTCCATTTCCTGTATTAGGGGCACTGGGAATAAATAAGGAAGGAAGGAAGGAAGGAAAGAAGGAAGAGGAAGAAAGAAATAGAGGAAGAGAGGAAGGAAGAAAGGAAGGGAGGAAGAGTGGGAGGGAGGGAGGAAGGAAGGAGGGAAGGAAGGAAGGAAGAGGAAGAAAGAAAGAAGAAAGGAAAGAAAGAAAGAAAGAAAGAAAGAAAGAAAGAAAGAAAGAAAGAAAGAAAGAAAGAAGGAAAGAAGGAAAGAAAAAAAAAGAAATAGAAGAGAGGAAGGAAGAAAGGAAGGGACGGAGGGAGGGAGGGAGGAAGGAAGGAATAGAGGAAGGAAGGAAGGAAGGGAGGAAGAGTGGGAGGAAGGAAGGAAGGAAGGAGGGGGGAGGGAGGGAGAAAGAGAGGTAGGAAGGAAGGAAGGAAGGAAGAAAGAAAGAAAGAAAGAAGGAAAGAAGGAAAGAAAAAAAAAGAAATAGAAGAGAGGAAGGAAGAAAGGAAGGGAGGGAGGGCGGGAGGGAGGAAGGAAGGAAGGAAGGAAGAAAGAAAGAAAGAAAGAAAGAGGAAGAAGGAAAGGAGGAAGGGAGGGAGGGAGGAAGAGAGAAAGAGAGAAAAAGTTCATTTTTAAAAGAGATGTATAAATGATAGGACATATTGAACATCAACCACGAGTGAGATTTTGTAGCCATCTTTTAAAAATATATGAATAAGCTGATACTGCTCTAGGACTAGGGATTTTCTCCAAAAAGATGCAACAATGCTTCTGCTCTAATCTGGAAAAGACGGGAGTGTGAAGCACAAGGAAGGTTCCTTGCATTGCCTTTGGTCTTCCTGGTGCTCCATGCAGCGAGAATGATGCTGCCACTACCTTTGCTATCATCCAACCTCACCTCTTCTCAGAACAAGCTTCCTGCCCACATTTTTTGGCAAACTGCACCTGTAACCTCCGTTTGCATTCGAAGAGATCTGAAATCACAGGTCTAGGCTGTCCGTGCGTCCTGACCTCCCGGTTAAGACCTCAACTGAGAGCAGTCCCAGATACCACTAGTACCTGAAGTGACGCAGCGAAGAGAGGAAACCCTTTGCTAGAGTTTCTCAAACCTAGCCTGCACAGATTGGAGCCGTTACCTGTATAATACACTAGCTCATCCCATCCCGGTTTGTGCCACGCAGAGTTCCTTATGTCTTCTCTTGTCTGCAGGTCTTTGTAAGCTGGAAGTGTTAACGGGAGAAAAAAGATTTTAAACAACAAGGCTTGGAACTCTCAGTGGTGCTGACGTTCATCAACATAATTTCTTTGCAAGCCCGGCATAACACCAAAAACAGAGTGCCTACTTGTTATATTTTTATTCCACTTTTCTCCCAAAAAATGATGGGACACAGTAACCATTGTCATTAAAACCAGAGACGGTTTTTACTGCCATGGCTACAGCCTTAGAATCTGGAAAGGGGCCGCTGTGGTTCAAGAAGGAGGGTAGAAAGCCACTCTCAGCTTCACACAAACGGGCGCTGAAAAGAACCACCTGGAAATTCAGAGGATTTGGATTTGTGAAAGGTAAAGGTTCCCCTTGACATTTTTAGTCCAGTCGTGTCCGACTCTAGGGGGCGGTGCTCATCCCGTTTTTCAAGCCGTAGAGCCAGCGCTTGTCCGAGGACAGTTTCCCTTGTTACATGGCCAGCGTGACTAGGGAGCGCCATTTTACCTTCCCACCGAGGTGGTACCTACTTATCTACTTGCATTTACATGCTTTCGAACTGCTAGGTTGGCAGGAGCTGGGACAAGCAAGGAGAGCTCACTGATCTTACGACAGCTGGTCTTTCTAGGAGCTGGGACAAAGCAAGGAGAGCTCACTTGCTGCGTGGATTTGATCTTACGACAGCTGGCCTTTCTAAGCACAGGCTTCTGCGGTTTAGCCCGCAGCGCCACCACGTCCCCTTCACGTTGTGAAGGTGGGCTAAATAAACTCCTTGTCCAAACTGTACGCATGCCCCACTCCTAAATTGTTTGTGCGCAGGGCCAAGCCTGTATTAGTGTTTCCTGGGATGTGTTTTGCAGAGAACAGAGAGAATTGCCACTGCTATTCCAGAACAGAGAGCCCAAGAGCCCTTTGGGGAAGTTTTGTGACTTTCCTGATCCTGTGTCTATGCATACATATGGATAAGTAACTGTATGTAAATCCCCAGCCTTCATTGCAACAAACTGGAAAGGTACATTTAAAAAAGGCTGGACTGCTGGAGTTTTCAGGGGTTTAGGTCTCTGGAGACTCAAAGCCAGAGGTTGGGAGTTTTGATTCCTCCCAGTGCCTCCTTGATCTGGAGATGCAAAGCCAGAGGTTGGGAGTTCTGATTCCTCCCAGTGCCTCCTTGACAGGGACTGAACTCAATCTATAGGGTCTCTTCCAACTCTGCAGCGCTAAGATGATGATTCTTGTAGAATTTCTGGAGAGCTCAGGGGTTTAGGTATCTGGAGATGAGGACCGACACCTTTGGAGTTAAAATTCCTCACTGTGCTCCCTTGACAGAGGCTGGAAGCCATGATCCAGAGGGTCGCTTCCAGCTCTGCAGTCCTAAGGTGATGATTATGATAGAACTGCTGGATAGCTCAGTTATTTAAGTCTCAGGCTGCAGAGCCAGAGGTTAAGAGTCCGATTCCCCACTAACAGGGGCTGCATTTGATGATCCATAGGGTCCCTTCCAGCTCTGACGCTCTAAGATTATGATGATGTTATTATTATTATTATAAAATGCACATCATGAAACAATAAATGCACATTTTAAGGAGGCCTTAATTAGGTAAGACAGAACAAATCCAAGGGTAAAATGTTTCGGTGTTAAGACACCAGCTTCAGTCCCTGGACGCACTAAAACATTTCACACTTGAATGTGTTGCTTGTTGCTTCCTGTTGTTCTGCGCAGGTGTAGACACACATTACAGAATGACCGGGAATGCTGCTGAGCAATCTCTAAACTGGAGAACCCAAGACGATCTTGCCTTGATTGGAAGGGAGGTTTGTTCCCACCCCGAGATCTGGGAATCTCAACGTGAACAAAGCCCAAACGTTCCCAGAGGACTTTAGAAGAAGGCCAATCAGGCACATCCTAAGCTAGACGTGGGAAATGCAAGCCCGGCCCGTACCCCAAAGGTGATGAACCATGTACAGCTGCCCAATCTGTGAGAAAAAGCCACCGACTGCTTCTTTGTCATCCTGCCGGAAGCGAATGGCTCGGGCCCTGAAAGAGACGGGAAGAGGGGCTCGTCAACGGGACCCGGGGATTGGAACTAAGATCATTGCAAAAAAGGCAGGAATCACTCTGGCTTGCGGTTCAGGAACAAGCACGCCAGAAAGCATCACAACCTGGCACAACACTAGAGAAGTATTAAGGGAGTATTTCCAGCTAGGAAAAAAAAAAAGATTACAGAAGCTCCTTTTCAGATTAAGGAACCGTGGCATTATTTGCTCAGGACCCTGTTTTGCTTTTTTTGCTATTCAGGCCGCACGCCAGGCGCACTTACCGTCTTTCGTACATTTGCCCTTAAAAATAAACCTGAGAAGCACTTCTTAAGTGGAGAATCAGCTTTTTTTGCTATTCAGGCCGCACGCCAGACACGCTGACTATCATCTTTCGTACGTTTGCCCTTAAAAATAAACCTGAGAAGCACTTCTTAAGTGGAGAATCAAGAGCAAGAAACCCGTCCAGGGTTAACAAAGTTAAGTCCCTATGAACTGAAATCAGACCTGAAGGCAAGCCTGACTTTGCCAGTTCTTTACACCTCTTTGCATCGAGTAAAATCAGAGCATCCATATGTATCCGTTTGCACACCTAAATGTGAACTTGAAAAGCAAATAAATGGAAAGTTTTACACGGAGTTTTCTACATTTGTAGAGTTTCCCAGCTTCCCATTCTGAATGTTGGAGGGTGGCTAGATATTTCAGGGAGTTTGGTTGAAATGTATTTCTACATTTGTAGAGTTTCCCAGCTTCCCCATCCTGAATGTTGGAGGGTGGCTAGATAATCCAGGGAGTTTGACTGAAATTTATTTTATTTAAATTATTTTTACTCTGCCTTTCTCCTCGAACGGGGCCCAAATGCTGCGGCCCCCAAATGTTTCCAAGTTTGGGTGATCCTCCACATGCCCTTAAGAAGCAGCAAAAGTCTGCATTGTGGAATTATTCATATTCAAGCCCCTCATTCTTGAAAAGATCAGGTATTCTTTAGTACTTCCTTGTTTTTCCTTTCTTTCCAGTTTTCATTTATTTTTTTCTTCTTCCTCTGGACGAACTCTCTGCCCCCGGGTCATGATTCTTTCTTTATGTCAACAAAACCAGCTAACTGAACAAAGTGTGAGGAAGGATGCTGTACCAGAGGACTCTGACCTAAGCGGAAAACAATCCCAACTTAGAAAACGCCTCCTGTTACAACACTACTTCTCATATTCCAAATATACTTTCCCAATAACCTGTCCATCTTTTCCTCTTCAGACCGGGCAGTCCTCACTAGAATATTGGCTCTATAGGTTCTGCAGCAGAACCCAACTAGACACAGCACTGATTGGCTGGTGGCTGTGATGCCAAGAACCTACTTCATCTTCTGCCAACGCCAAAGAGACTTACAATCTTTTCATGTCTGAAACCCAGTAGTAGGTTGCAACTAGAGCAGGTCTATTTGAACCAATGGAACTTACGGAGGGGTTGACTCGCCAAATCCCCAAGGATTTAATGGGCCTCCTCTAGTTGCAAGTTACTACTGGATTTCAGCTGAAGAGTGTTGTCTTTGATAGTACAGCAGACAATCCAGTGAAACCATGAAAATGAACAGGTAGGAAATCCCCCCAATAGCTAGGGATTTGGGAAGTTGTCGTCTAAAAAACATACCATTTCCAAGCTCTATACAAAAGATATACACCATGTTTTAAAAAAAGAATAATAGACAGGGCGCTGGAATGGTTGGTAAGCACATCGGTTTTGGCAAACAGAAGCTGGACCCACACCACAGGGAGAAAAATGTGTTGGCTGCTCTTGCAATGTACAGCGTGTTCTGACTTTTAAATAAACTTCTCTTTCCACAGCACCTGCCCACCTTGGGTAAACATCTGTCTGCAAAAGAACATGCGTGGAGAGGAAAAGTTCTCAGTTCTCTGGGGTCATTCCACACAACTCAAAGACCACCTTAAGCGCCAGAGAGACGTTACCTAATAAACAAACCCCCTGCAATGAAATCAACAATGCCAGTGATAAGGTAAAGGGGTGGACGATGGTGGGAACTTCCTAGAAAAAGGAGACAGGGAGAAAATGACCTGGAGGGAGATGAGCAAATGAGCCCAACCTGGTTCCTTCCCTGAATACGTGGGGAAGCTTCAGTGAAAAAGCCCAATTCGGGAGGCCACCCAACACCCTCCTATCTAGGGGGTCAGTGCCATTACACTCCACAAGACTGTACAACTGTATGTATCCTGACTGTAAGTATAGTGTGCGGCATATTAACTGTTAGGAAATATTACCAAAAATAAAGCAGTGAAGGGCAGCCTTCTGTTAGAATCGGCATGACTGCATTGAGAAATAAATACGTCATGACGGATTCTAGCTTTGACAGCTTTAGGAAGCATTAAATATCTTGGAGGAGGAGAAGGCTGGTCCACCGCTAACAATCTGGACAGTGAAATGAAACCTCCGCGTTCAGAGGCAGGCTACCTCGGGCCACCAATTCTGAGGGCAAACGGGGTCAGTGACCATCCTCATGCCCGGCTTGTGAGCTTCCAGAGGAATTCAGTCACAAGATAGAATGCTGGATTCCATGAGCAGGGGATGAGCGGTCACTTAGTGCGAAGGCCCTCGTTTTACATGCAGAAAGTCCCACGTTCCGTCTCCAGTACAGCGTCTTCCGGTACGACTACGGAAGAATCTTGTTTGAAGCCCTCAATCCTCATGCCTGGCTGTCGGCATCAACAGTCCAGGGTGTTCAAGGGCCAAGGATCTACAAAGCTTTGACCATGCTTTGAAATCTGGACTTGACCCATCATGGCAAGCCTGTCATGTCCATTTTCCAGCAGCTCTGTGGGCGCTGAGACCGTAAAGGCTTGCAACGATATTGTTATAACACACACAGGGACACACACAGACACACACAAGCATGAGGGAACACTTACCAGTAATTGCCCCACTCGATCATCGTCCCAGGCTGAAAGAGAAAAGAGAGGTGATCACACCCTGATAGCGCAGCTCCTCGTACTGTTCTCCCAGATGGGGAAGTAAGCGAGGGGATCTAAAAGGGTTCCTGGAGCCAGTGAAGACTGACCTACGCTTCCCGGCTCCAGGAATCCTCCGGCTGAAAGAGAAAAGAGAGGTGATCACACTCTGATAGCGCAGCTCCTCGTACTGTTTTCCCAGATGGGGAAGTAAGCGAAGGGATCCAAGAGGATCTAAAAGGGTTCCTGGAGCAAGTGAAGACCGATCTACCCTTCCTGGCTCCAGGAATCCTCTTGGATCTTATTCGGTCACTAAAGAAGGCAACTCAGCCCAAAAGACAAGGGGTGATGAGCCAGACGTGGGGTTAGTTTCATCAGACAGCTTTTTAGTTTTTATTCCCGGCAGTGGTTGGCATTAAGGGGCATGTGCTGGAAACAGGACTCAGCGACTGCTCTTTTCCCCCCTCTTCAAAAGGCAGGGTGTCTGAGACAAAACTAGCAAGACTCAGGAGAACCCAGTGGCCAGGTCTTGACAGAAAACGACCTGCCCTCTTCTCAACAAATTAGGTTCCTTGAAGGAGGTTAAAGGGAAACAAAGGCAAGTACATTTCGTCTCCATTTATTTCCTCCGTTTTAACAGTGCCAATTCTATCAAGGGAAATTTAAAAAAAAAGCACTCACACGAAGCTGGTAAGACCTCAGTTCATAGATGTTAGGCCCCGGCCGGGGAACGGGTTCATTCCAAAAACTGAACTCCAACAGCAGTTGGTTCTTGCGGGAGAGAAGCATGTTTCCCCTTGCTTTGCGAAATTCCATGAAGTCCTAAGTATGAAATAAAAACACAAAATCCACAGTGTTTCTTAAATAGACAGTAGCTCATGACATGGATCAGTAAAACAACAAGAAAAACAGGAGCTTCTCCCACTCAAGTTACTTTTGCTGCCTCGACCCTGATAGCTCCCCACAGGAAAGGCCCAGCCTATCACAGGACATGGCAGTTTGTGTCCTCCACCTATTTTGGACTTCCAACTCCCCATAAGCCCAGCAACCGTGATGAATAGGAAAGGAATAAAAGCAAAAGCATGCAAAGCGTGCTCCTTATATACTGCCCCATAGCACTTCAAGCACCCTCTAGGCGGTTTACAAGTTAATCATGCAGGCTACACATTGCCCCTCTAGCAAGCTGGGTACTCATTTTACCGACCTCGGAAGGATAGAAGGCTTAGTCAACCTTGAGCCGCTACCTGGAATTGAACCCCAGGTCGTGAACACAGTTTTGGCTGCAGTACAGCGGTTTAACCACTGCGCCACAAGGCTCTGTGGAAGTTATTGTCCAAAAACATCTGGAAGGCTGAAGGATCCCAGCCTCATCTTCATGGATACAAAAACTCTTGACCATGCACAAACCCTTGTAGGAAGTATTATCAATGTCTAAGAAAGTTTCATAGGGGTCAAAATGTGATATGCTTTCAGATTGCTTCTGGCTTACGGATGTAACTATCTCAAATTTGTCCTATCATTGATACCCCTGTTCAGTTCTTGCAAACTGAAAGCAAGGGTATCATTTCCTGGGTCAAGGCACCTCATGTTACATCTTCCTCTTTTCCCACTGCCTTCTACTTTTTCTAATGGTGAACAGGGAATGAGACGCCTTATTTGCTTGCCTGATTGGCTTGCCTAGGAGCAAGGCCCCAAGAGATTTTAAACCATTTGCTACATTACTGATCTGCTCCCCTAAAGGTTATGCACCACACAGCATTGTGCTGTCATCAGCATGCCTTGAACAATTTCTTTCGGGATCAAGAAAGAAATCAAGGGTCTCCTTTGTTTTTGTTTTGCAAATGACACAGTAGCCCTTGTTCTGCTGGCTGTGGGAACGTGCTTCTGCAGACTTTATAAAGCACAGCCCTATGTGGAATTACATGGATGGAGGACTTGAGAAATGAACAAACTTGGGCCTTCTCGGTGCTGTCGGACGAGATCTACAAGCGCACCTTTTTACCTGGTCTTACCTTGTTATGGCGAAGCTTACTCATGACCTCTGTGAGGGCTGGATAGCCCCCCTCGTACCTCCAGAGGTGGACTAGAATGAAAAGGAGCATGTTTAGGAGACCTATCCCCTTCAGGTAGGCACACAGTGTGCTTCCACTGACTTCCGCGTCTCTCCTCATCCTTCCTAGTCTATCCATGCACCCACCTGCATTCCACAGCCACCTTCCTTTCTCCATCCCTTCCTCCCATCGCCCCTCTGGAGGGTTAGCCAAGCTCCTTTCTTTCAGGACTTCTCAGACCACCACCTTTTGGGTGGGATCTCAAAATGAAGATTTCCCAGGATTTTTCACCTTGGGATCCATTTCCTAAGCACCCACATCCCTTAAATATCATCCGGAGCACTCTGGGAGAATGCAGCTGAAATTATTTTCCCAGCAAGGAAGTGTTTACAAGGGGAAGCCTGCTCACTCAGGGCCTCTAGGATCGCAACAGAGAAGAACGTCACGTCAGGTTAATCCACCCAGAAGATCTTCCGAGTCTGAATCTGTCTCTCAGAATCTGAGAGACAGAGGTAGAGCGCCCAGACTCCAGGCCTGAGAGTGGCCATTTTGTTGTGACGTTGAAACCGCCGGCCAGCTACCCAAGGTCATAAATTCTTTTTAAAAAAATGTCCTTTGGACACAGCCCCAGACTCCAAACCCAAGCAAAAGCTCATTCACATGCCTTTCAACGCTGTTAAAAGAAAGAGAATTCAGCCTTGGCCTAATCCTGGCTTAGGACCCAAAGAGTCCACTGGGATCTTTACCAAGTGCATAGCTGCTGCTTGGGGATCTTCCCTAGGCCTGCAAAGCTCAGGTCTGACCAGCTGCCACCGCAGAAGTCATGGTTAACTGGACTGCCCCCTGCTAACCACTCCCTGAATGCATGTTGAGGATGATGGAGGATTGCCCTCCGCTCCTCAGAGACTGTCCTGCCCCCTGCCATCTTCCCGCCTGGCCAGAAGAAGCAGACCGCCTGTGGCAAGCACCCAACCTCAGCCCAGAGGCATGTTTCTGTTGAACGTCTTATCTCCTACCAGCCTGATCTTGCTCTCCGTACCACGTGTTCCACGTCCCCACCAGTGTACAGGGATATCCTTCGTGGACTTTTAGCAGCACCTCTTCGCTTAAAAACAAAACAAAACAAAAACAGAAGTTACATCACAGAAGTACACAAAGGCCAATCAGCTCAGCAGTCAGATGTCCATTCCGACAGCTGGGAACCCCTTCCCCTCTTTGATACCCTTGAGTTTAGATTTCTGTGATTTAGATTTCTTCTCTCAAGATCTCTCATGTCATCTCCTGAGGAACCTTCCTGAGAAACGTAGTTTGTTGTTGTTTAGTCGTTACGTCGTGTCCGACTCTTTGTGACCCTATGGACCAGAGCACGCCAGGCCCTCCTATCTTCCACTGCCTCCCGGAGTTGGCTCAAATTCATGTTGGTCGCTTCGGTGACCCTGTCCAACCATCTCCTCCTCTGTCGTCCCCTTCTCCTCTTGGCTTCACATTTTCCCAACATCAGGGGCTTTTCCAGGGAGTCTTCTCTTCTCATGAGATGACCAAAGGATTGGAGCCTCAGCTTCAGGATCTGTCCTTCCAGTGAGCACTCCAGGTTGATTTCCTTCAGAAGGGATAGGTCTGTTCTCCTTGCAGTCCAGGGGACTCTCAAGAGTCTCCTCCAGCACCACAATTCAAAAGCATCTATTCTTTGGCAGTCAGCCTTCTTTATGGTCCAA